TAGCAACCCAGAATGGAGGGAGGGCAGACAGGGCTGGGGAGAAACCTCAGTCTCTGCCTCTGACTGCATCCACCCTTTATCCTCAACAACCCCTTCAGCCTTCTTGCCCACAGCTCGCCTTCCCTGCCCTCCACTCCCCTACACTGCAATGGTATGCTTTGCTCTGGGAAAGAAAGTAGACGCAGGCATTGCTTTTGAGAAATCCGCATATTGGGAGAGAGAACATAGAACCAGATAAACAAAACAGACTAGACTGTTACCTGTTCTCCCCTAGTCATGCTTCACTATCCAAATCTCTGCCTTGAAAGTTTCTCCAGCTGGGACAATGCACTCATGTCCACACCATCTGTGACCCTTGCCACTGCCAGGGCCAAGGGAAAACTCGCCCTCCACCCTCTGAAGACTTGCTGAAAAATCACTGACAAGTGGTAGATTAACAGGAGAAAAAGCAAACAAATTTGTTTGAGCATAATTTTATCTGAGCCTTCAGAATAAAGACCCAAAGATACAGGGGAATTGTCCATTTTTATGCTTAGGTTCAACAGATTGTGGACTGTGTAAAAATATGATCGGACAAGAAGGTTCTAATACTAATAGACTGAGAGGTGAAACCTAGCAAGGCCTGTCTAGATTCTTCTTGGCCTCTCTGTTCCTTCCTTCTGGGCATGGGGTGGGACCCTCTCTGGAATGGGTGTCTTATGACAGTCAGACAGAGTAGGTAAGATTATTTCTGACCAGTTTGTTTGTTTGTTTGTTTGTTTGTTTGTTTTTTCTGCTAGCTCCCTTTACTCAAGCTCTCTCTCTGACCAGTTTTTATACTTAAAGGGGAATGGGGAGTGAGAAGACTATTTTTAAGTTTTATGGCTGGCTTTGGGCAACACTGGTTTTGATGACCTGCCTTGGGGAAGACAGATTCTAGTTTTGATGGCTAGTCTTGGGGGAGAATGAGAAGCCAGGAACAAGAGGGCAGGAGGTCAGAGAGAAACTTTTGCTTCTGAGGCCTTCATTTTAGGGTATCAGAGATGATTGGGCAGCCGGGCTCTGGATAAAGTATCCCAGTGTGTGAGTGCTGGTCTTCTACACTGGATGCTGAGCTCTTTTAAAGGGTGTTTTTCAACCTTGGATGCAAATTGGAATCACCACAGAAGCTTTAAGAAATATTGTTGGCCTGGGGCTGTAGCTCATGGCTGTAATCCCTAAACTTTGGAAGTCTGAGGCAGGATGACTGTTTTGAGCCCAAGAGTTCAAGACCAGCCTGGCCAACACAGTTAGAGCCTGCCTCTATAAAAATCTTAAAAAATATTTGGGTCTGGTACTCCACGCCTGTAGTCCTGGGTACTAGGAAGGCTAAGGTGGGAGGATATCGCTTGAGCCCAGGAAGTTAAGGCTGCAGTGAGCTGCGATCGCATCACTGCACTCCAGCCTAAGTGACAAGCAAGATTTTATCTTAAAAAAAAAAAAAAAAAGATAAAGAAAAAAAGTTTGTTGGGGCCTACCCCAGAGATTCTGATTTAATGAGACTGGGCATCAGGAATTTAACACCCCCTGGCCCTCCGGTGCTTCAACTGTGTATCCAAGATTGAGAACCACCAGATTTACAGCAAGGACATTTTCTTACATTCTTTCTAAAGTTTCTTGCTTTTTTTTTTTTTTTTTTTGCATATGGATTCTCTGTTTATCAAATAAACAAAAAGGAAACCTGCAAATGCTTGTCAAAGTCTGCTGAAGCTTCAGGCCCAAAGCCCACAGAGATTAATGACTAATCTGTATGGTCCTTTAGAACCTTGCTTGTCAGTGTGACCCAAGAACCAGCAGAACATCAAGATCACCTTGAATCTGTTAGAAATGCATAGGCTGGCCAGGTGTGGTGGCTTACGCCTGTAATCTGAACATTTTGGGAGCCCAGGAGTTTGAGACCAGCCTGGGAAACATAGGGAGACCCCCGGCCCCTGCAATCTCTACAAAAAAAAAAAAAAAATCTGTTGGGTGTGGTAGCATCCACCTGTAAGCCCAGTTACTTGGGAGGCTGAGCCAGAACAGGAGTTTGCAGCTGCAGTGCGCCACGACTGGGCCACTAACTCAACTCCAGCCTGGGTGATGCAGCCAGATCCTGTACCTAAAGAAAAAACTCAGGCCCACCCAGACTGCTCTACTGGAATCTTGAGAGCTGCAAATCATTGATTTTCAGCACAGATGATTTTGCCCACCCCTGACACTGACTTGAACAAACACCAGCATAATTTCTAGCAGCTCAAGGCCATGTCTGAGGGATGGCCCAGGCCTCCTTGGGTGCCTGCCTAGGGAAGCTCAAGGCTGCCAAAAGAATTTACCATTTGTTCCATCCAATGCAGATCACAGCCTTTTTAAAATTGATTTTAGGTTTTGGGGTGCATGTGAAGAACATGCAAGACTGTTGCATAGGTACACACATGGCAGTGTGGTTTGCTGCCTTCCTCCCATTCATCTATATCTGGCATTTCTCCCCATGCTGTCCCTCTCCTATTTTCCCCCAGCAGACCCCAGTGTGTGATGCTCCCCTCCGTGTCCACGTGTTCTCATTGTTCAACACCCACCTATGAGTGAGCATATGCGGTGCTTGATTTTCTGTTCTTGTGTCAGTTTGCTGAGAATGATGGTTTCCAGGTTCATCCATGTCCCTACAAAGGAGACGAACTCATTGTTTCTGATGGCTGCATAATATTCCATGGCGTATATGTGCCACATTTTCCCTGTCCAGTCTGTCATCAATGGGCATTTGGGTTGGTTCCAGGTCTTTGTTATTGTAAACTGGATCACAGCCTTCTAACCCCCTCGTCTTTTTTTGAGGAGTCATGTTCTGTTGCCCAGGCTGTAATGCAGTCATGCGATCTCAGCTCACTGCAACCTCTGCCTCCTGGGTTCAAGCAGTTCTACCACCTCTGTCTCCTAAGCAGCTGGGAGTACAGGTGTGCATCACCATGCCCGGCTAACTTTTGTGTTTTTTAGTACAGATGGGGTTTCACCATGTTGGCCAGGCTGCTCTTGAACTCCTGACCTCACATGATCCAACCACAATGCTGGGATTATAGACATGAGCCACGGACCGAGCGCCTCCCTCTTATTAGAGGGCTTACTTCATAAAATTTACAATTGTAAATCTTTTCTGACCCTCTGAGAGATACCAATGTATCTTCTGCAGCACAGAAAGAATGTGTCTTTCTTTTTCTGGGAGCCATCCCTTTGTCATGTAATTATCAGGAATGATAAGGCTTGACTCCTGGTCTCTGTGGGAAGCTAGTATCCTAACTTCGATAAACTTGTGAGTTAGTAGACACAGATAGCCTAATCACATTGACCAACCTCCTTACCAGCTTTTTGTAATTTTCCACTTCCCCAGTTCTATTTGAACCTCCTTCCTCCCACTTTAAAATTCCATCACCTCTGCACAGATTGGAGCTAAGCTCAGTTCTATGCTGAGGGCTCTCTCCTTCTGCAGTAGTTACTGAGTAAAATCTGTCATTACTGCCTTTAGTGTTCAGCTTTTTAAGTCTATTTTAATAAGGTCCTTTAAGTCTCCATTTTAATAAGGTCATAAACAGCCCTGAATGGTGGGAAAAAATTATGCCCATTTTACCAATGAGAGAGTTATATCTTTGCTTAAGATCACACTGGTAAACTAGAAATTGAACATGCTTCATGACTCAATCCAGGGCTCTTTCCAAAATACATGCTAATCAGAAAGGGAAGGCCACACTGCACATGAGGACCCAGGGGAAGAAAGTTGGTGAGAGCGCTCACAAAAAACCAAAAAGGTTTCTCTTGAGGCATCTCCATTGGTGCAATGCCCTCTCAGGTTTTTTTTGTTTTTGTTTTTGTTTTTTGACACGGAATCTCACTCTGTCGCCCAAGCTAGAGTACAGTGGTATGATCTTGGCTCACTGCAACCTCTGCCTCCTGGGTTGAAGCGATTCTCCTGCCTCAGCCTCCTGAGTAGCTGGGATTACAGGTGTGCACCACCACACCCATCTAATACTTCGTATTTCTAGTAGAGATGGGGTTTCACTATGTTGGCCAAGCCAGTCTTGAACTCCTGACCTCAAGTGATCCATCCATCTCGGCTTTGAAAGTACTGGGATTACAGGCGTGAACCACCACACTCAACCTCAGGTTCTTCTTTAGTTGCAAGAGAACTGTTTCAGCATCAAGTGTCTTAGGTATTAAAGTTGTAAGTTTAGGTACTGAGTTATCCTATCGGTAGCTGGAGTCCCAGGGATGACAGGTACCAATCGTGTGCAAGTTATCAAAGGCTGTGGTCTCAAAAGCTGCAGAAGCCCAGCCCTTCATGGGCCTGTACACACCCCGTGCAGCCACTACTACGTGAAGTCAGATGCAGGCATGGTCTTAGTGGGTCTTAGTCCTGAACCACTCACCCCTAACTCACTCTGCAAACTCATTCCCGATGTTCACCTACTTTCCCAGCTTTACCTCCAACGTCGGCATCCATTCTTGCTTTCCGGGGTAAACACTGACTCCCTTCTCCTCCTAGCTGGGCCGGTCCTCTGGGTAAACACTATTTCCTATTTCCACCTCCACATTTCTACTCCTGGGCCAGTTTGATGCCTTGATGTACCCGAGCTCCCTGGTAGCTCTTGCTGATCTCACTCAAACTTACATAACAAAATTCAAACACAGAAGATTACGAAATTAAGTTATATTTCATCCTCTTTCTGTCTTTTTTTTTTTCCTGATTTGTCACGTTGGGCTAAAGATCAAGAGAAAAAGAGTCACCAATTTTAAACACCAAAGTCATTCCTCTAGGAAAGACAGCAAAATTACTAACATGAATGATGGGATGAATTTTTCTGGTCATTTTCGAACCACTTAGATTACTATAACCAGAGGAATTCCCCCAGGCACTTTACCCCTCAGCCATGGAAAATGCTGATTTTTTTACTTTCAGCCAGCATTATGGTAAATATATATTTATTATTAGTTTTATCAGAAATGCTTATACATACAGGTGATTTCTGATGCATAATTTTATTAAAGCCAGAGATGGTCATTTCTTCTACAGAAACAAATCTCTGAGGTTAGAATGGAAGACAATAAAATGAGAGATTCCACTTAATAATTTACCTTTGTCAAACTATCCCAGAGCATGCCAATTCTATTATATGGAAGTATTACTTTGACATTATGAATCAAATTATTAACAGAAAACACAGAAGCCAAAAAACCTTAAATTCTGTAATCTTCAAGTCAATCATCTCTTTTCTTAGGTTTTTGAAGACCCGAAAAGAAAAATAATTTCAAACACCAGCATTCAAACACCATACACATTTGTAATCAGGCACAGCATTTTTTTTTTTTTTTTTTTTTTGTGATGGAGTCTCAGTCACCCAGGCTGGAGTGCAGTGGCCTGATCTTGGCTCACTGCAACCTCTACCTCCCAGGTTCAAGTGATTCTCCTACCTCAGCCTCCCGAGTAGCTGGGACTACAGGTGCACGCCACTACGCCTGGCTGGTTTTTTATTTTTAGTAGAGACAGGGTTTTGCCAAGTTGCCCAAGCTGGTCTCGAACTCCTGATCTCAAGTGACCTTCCCACCTCGGCCTCCCAAAGTGCTAGGATTACAGGCGTGAGCCACCACGCCCAGCCCAGCAGTCAATTTTAAGTTTCTTATTTTCCAGGTTTTAGCTTAATAATTCTCATTACTTTTTTAGATTTCTGTCAGTTTTGTTTTGGGGCTATTTTGCCTTACTGGACCGAAACAGAGTATTAAAATACATTCATCATCAATACTAAGAATAGAGTGTAAGTGGGTTTCTCACTCCTGAGGGACACAAGTGGAAACAACACATCCCATGAACACAGGTGAATGTCCCTGGTTATCCCTGAGCTGGGCAGTTTCACACAATCATTTTTTCTCTGAGGCCAAAGTCTGTGGTTTGATCATCTTAGCAGCTTCCAGAACAGAAAGTAGGTTTACTTTGTCTCCAAATTCTTTTTCTCGGTGCTCGAGAAGAACGCCCTAAAAGGAAACAAGAGGTAATGTCAGTCTTCATTCTAAGTCATTCGTTCATCAGACAGACATCGAGGCCAGCTGTCTGTCAAGCCTTGTGCTTGAACAGCAAAGAACACAGATCCAAATATGGCCCGGCTCCTGCCCTCAAGGAGTTCAGTCTTTGGGGAAGATAGATTAAGGAGGGCCACATCTATCTGTCCTGTACCAGCAGCTCTCTGGAAGCAGGAAGTCAGGAGTGACTAAGGATGACAAGGGCAATCAGGGAAGGGCTCACAGATGATAAAGCATGGAGGGGAACCAGGATGTCTACAGGTAGAGATGCAGGTAAAAGAATGTTACCAGGTGAAGAGAAAAAAAATGAAGCTGACATAGAAAGGCCCCAAGGTGCGGAAGTGGAGTTCAGAGATTAGACTTTGGAAGGCACTGAATGATCATCTAAAAGGGAGACTCTCTTTTTCCTTTAGTCTTCCTAAGAAACTGGAAGCCACTCTCTTCTCATATAGTGAAGAAAAATGCACTAAGACAAAGGATTCCCCAAAGTTACCTAAAGTCGAAGGTGGTAAAAGAGAAAAAATAACATGTTTGAGATCAGCATCAAGGAATCCTTGTTAGAGTTCTTTGATCCCTTACATCTTAAAAAGAAAATCTGTAAATATGCTGTGTCATTATTTATAAAGACTTAAAAGTCCCACCACACTGTGGTGATTACAGAGAAGCAGATCAGAAAATTATATTTACTTGCTCAATAAACCACAATACAGACATTACAAATACTAAGAATAGGCCGGGTGTGATGGCTCATGCCTGTAACCCCAGCACTTTGGGTGGCCAAGGCAGGTGGATCACCTGAGGTCAGGAGTTTGTGACCAGCCTAGCCAATATAGTGAAAACCCATCTCCATTAAAAATATAAAAATTAGGCCGGGTGCGGTGGCTCAAGCCTGATCCCAGCACTTTGGGAGGCCGAGGCGTGTGGATCACAAGGTCAAGAGATTGAGACCATCCTGGTCAACATGGTGAAACCCCGTCTCTACTAAAAATACAAAAAATTAGCTGGGCATGGTAGTGCGTGCCTGTAATCCCAGCTACTCAGGAGGCTGAGGCAGGAGAATTGTCTGAACCCAGGAGGCGGAGGTTGCGGTGAGCCGAGATCGCGCCATTGCACTCCAGCCTGGGTAACAAGAGCGAAACTCCGTCTCAAAAAAAATAAAATAAAAAAAAAATAAAAATTAGCTGGGCGTGGTGGCAGGGGCCTGTAATCCTAGCTACTGGGGAGGCTGAGGCAGGAGAATCACTTGAACCTGGGAGGCGGAGTTTGCAGTGAGCCAAGATTGCGCCATTGCAGTCCAGCCTGGGCAACGAGCAAAACTTCATCTCAAAAAGGAAAAAAAAGGAAATCTCACCACCCCCAATTTTAGACTACAAAAGCTCTATACCCAAGAAGAACTGAGGTAAATCCTGAAACTCAGCTAGCCAGTTAACGTTCCACCTGGGAGAATGAAGGCCAGGAGCTCCAGGGAATACCAATAAAGTTAAACAACACACCTAGCAACATCAGAAATGTGCCAGCAGGGCCCCTGAGCACCAGATGAGTCATCGCCAGGCAAGAAAAGGCTGGCAGGCATGCCCACCCCTGCCCCAGAGGCCATGAGAAGGCAGAGGCGAGTAGGTGAAAGAACCCCACTATGCCAGAGTAGGAAGAGGATGGGCAACCCTTTGGGGAAGTGGCCTGCCCAAGCATAAGGACATCAGGAAGGGGTGGCTGGGAACCACCTCCAAGGAGAGGCTAGGGGCAGGGCAGGGAAGGGTCCCAGGAGTTCAGTAGATTTGAGTTCCTAAGTTTCAGTTCCATTGTACCACTTAGCTGTGTCTTTGCCTGAGTTATTTTAAATCTCTAGGCCCCCTACTGTATATGTAGATGGGAATAAAAACACCTAACACCCAAAATTGGTTGTGAGGAAGACGTAAAATCATGTACATGAGCATGTAGAACAAGACAGGCACTCAGTGGCAACCGTTATTACTAAGACATTTTGACAGATTTACCAGAAAATTAGCAAATAGGTTTATGTTACATCAGATACCAATTTATTCTAAATTCTAATACTGTCAAGTGAATCAGTTGCCAAGCTGTAAAATGAAAACCTAAGAAATAAAGCCTAAACTTGAAGGATTTCTATTCCCTTTTATTCCTCGCAAATTGGGAAGAGTATGTAATTATCAACATAAATAGTGAGATCCAGCAATGCAGATAAACCCCATCTTTCTACAGAAAGAAAACACTTTCTACAGAAAGAAAACACTTTCTACACGTTAATGTTACATCCAAGGTTGACAGAGACAGGCCTAGAACTCAGGTACCAGCTTCCAGGTCCTTCTCCCATATCCTTCCCTCATCTACTTTTTGAGACGGAGTCTCACTCTGTCACCTAGGCTGGAGTGTGGTGGCACAATCTCAGCTCACTGCAGCCTCTGCCTCCTGGGTTCAAGTGATTCTCCTGCCTCAGCCTCCCAAGTAGCTGGGACTACAGAAGCATACCACTACACCTGGCTAATTTTTTAACTTTTTCTTTAGTAGAGATGGGATTTTGCCATGTTGGCCAGGCTAGTCTGGTCTCGAACTCCTGGCCTCAAGTGATCCACCTGCCTCAGCCTCCCAAAGTGCTGGGGTTACAGGCATGAGCCATGGTGCCCAGCCCCCTCATCCACTTTGCCCCATCCCTGCTACACATCTTCCTGGCCTCTGCTGACACTACCCTCCAGGGCAGGGGGAACCACCATGGCTCAAGGCTGTCTATACTCTGACACGAACAACTGCCCACCTGGCTCTTGGGCCTACAGAGACCCCATGCCTCCTTTCCACACCTTCCCCTAGGGCCCCATGCTGCTTCTGGAGCTTCACAACCAGAACTACAATAATAGCCTGCTTGCAGAGGAGTCAGATACCTTTCCTAGGCCAGCCCTGACACCAAGACCCCCACAGGGAAAAGCATCGTCTTCCTGCCACCTCCTTGTTACATCCCATAATTAGGCCTGGTTCTATTCCTTCCTTCCTTCCTTCCTTCTCAGTTTTTTTTTTTTTTCTGCCATCCATCCACAGTGGCCTGGAATACTGCAAGGGAGTAAATTCATAAACAGAATAAAACTATGCTTCTGTTCAAGCACAGAAAACAAACTTCAAGTCAGCAAACCTGGGCTCAGCCCCCAAATCGCTGCCAGTGGGGGCTGTGCTCTTTGTGCAATTGCTCATCCCTTCTCAGTTCTAAGTTCCTTGTCTGCAAAATGATCAAACTGTCTCATGGTGTTACTGTAATGAGGGAGCAGAGTCAAGTATGAGGTACTAGCAGAGAAAGATGTGTGATACACAACAACTGTCTTCCCTTGCCTTCTTCATGTTCCCTGGCCTGCTAGAAAGAAGGCTAGGAGACCCTAAACAGGGAAAGTCAACCCCCACTCCAGCCTCTGGTTGGGGTCTCAGGCTCACAGACACAGGCACCTACAGACCCAGACCCACAAGTAAATACCAAGAACTTACCTGCTTTCCTGATCCCACCACAAAAACTCCCCCGAGGACGAAGCCTTCTCCTTCCAGGTTTCCAGAGAAGCCTCCATTCCAGGCTCGGAAGAAGTTGTACCACACTCCCAGACGGATAAATCCCATAAACATCATCTTCCGCCTTTGTGGACCATAGAACTTTTTCTATGGAGTGAGAAAGACAGATCCCATATGAGTAGTCTACATGCCTGCCTTCCCCAGGGAAAGGCTCCCGACCAGGCATTGGTTCTCAGGCAAAGACTCAAGGCCTGCTGGCTCGTCTTCTCTCCCACCCAATACACATACCACCCCCACCCAGGTTCACTCTTTTTTTCTGTTTTTTGTTTTCTATTTTTTGAGATGGAGTCTTGCTCTTTCATCCAGGCTGGAGTGCAAATGACGCAATCTTGGCTTTCTGCAATCTCTGCCTCCTAGGTTCAAGTGATTCTCCTGCCTCAGCCTCCCAAGTAGGTGGAATTATAAATGCCCTCCAGCAGGCCTGGCTAATTTTGGAATTTTTTGCAGAAATGGGCTTTTACCACCTTGGCCAGGCTGGTCTCAAACTCCTGACCTCAAGTGACCTGCCCACCTTGGCCTCCCAAAGTGCTGGGATTACAGGCATGAGCCCCACCATGCCCAGCCCATCCAGGTCCACTCTCAACTGCCCAAGGAAACAGAACCCTGCTGAGTCCAGTTTCTGACCTCAAGGTAGACCCAACTTAGGGAGACACCTGTAGCTTTCAATTCTGACTCTAACTTCTCACTAGTCTTGCACCTAACAGGATGGTAACAGGGCTACATTCTGCAGAGGTGGGAGCAGAAGAGAAAGAAATAAATGAATTAAGGGACAGGGTGTAGGGCTTGTGCTAGGCCCCCAACAGTGGAGAATCCTGTTGAAGTTTCAGCTATTTCCTACTCTCCTAGTTCACACTGCAGGAAAGGCTCAAATAATACATATGCTCAACTTACAATGGGGTTATGTCCCTATAAAACCATCATAAGTTGAAATATCTTATATCGAAATGCATTTAAGGCACCTAACCTAACATCATAGCTTAGCCTAGACTACCTTAAACATGCTCAGAACATTCTCATTAATTTATAGTTGAGTAAAATCATTTAACACAAGCCTATTTTATAATGAAGTGGTGAATAACTCATGTAGTTTACTGAATATTGAATGTGAAAAACAAAATGGCTATATGGGTTCTTGAAGAAATGTAGGAATTAAATGCCTACCACTTCCACACCATTATAAAGTTGAAAGACCGTAAGTCAAACCATCAGAGGGTCAGGGACTGTCTGTAATTGAGAGGACAGCTTTAAAATGTCTGATCATGCCCTGCTCCGGAGGTTGAAAAATGCCTTGCAAGTTGAGGGCAGCTGAAGGGGAAGCCAGCCTCCAGCTCCAGGCCAGACATACCTGGGCCGCCTGACTCTCCACAGCTGAGCACAATCCCCAGCCGTCTGTGTCTAAAAGGTGCCCAGCACACGCACCTTTTCATCCAGGAAGATTTCTCCTTTGAAATAAGGCTGGAAATCCTTCACTTCAGTCTTGATGTGCTCCTTTACCACTGCATAGAGAGGGACGCCAAGCTCATCCAACTTGGGTTTCAGGGAGGACAGATCCGCAGCTTCCTGTGGATGACATAGGGGTTCAGGGACGTCTGTCCCAGTTGCCTCTGGGCCTCCACACAGAGTGCTGGGTTCCCTCTGCAGCCCAGGCTTCTTGTCTTCTCCAGTGGGAAGCAGAGATGAGCCTCCTGTTATAGCTGTCCTGACCAGAGCTTGGGAGCAGCCATACCCAAACACTCCTGCCCACAATGCTTCCCTCCTACCTCATCTCCCAACCCCTTCCATGCACTAGACCAAACTAACACAAGGGCCCAGCAGACACACGCTCCTTTCGCCATAACCTTCCTTTCTCTCTTCAGCTCAGCCCTACACTCTGGAAAGGTATCCCTGTTCTAGAAAGATATCCCTGGCTAGTCCACCCTGGAGAAAAGCCCTGCTTCTCTGTGCATATCCTTTCTTCCCTGTTCGGTGACATTTTCTGTACTGAGTCTGCCTGTTATCACTAAGTTGAGTGTTGTCTCTTAGATTCCCAAATGTTTCTAATAGTTAGAAACTATGTCTTCCATTTCCTGGAACCCTCAGTGCCTAGAACATGGCTGGATATAAAATAGGTGCTAACTACCAGGTGGGAAGATTTGAAGGGGGACAATGGGGCGAATGCAGCTGAGCTGAGAGACACCCTTGACCCTCAGAAACTGTATGCTAGATGAATGAAGGAAACTGCATGAGTCACGGTGAAGCTCAACATGAAGAACTCAATCCTTTCTTCACATTTGGTGTCAGAATTAAAGAATCAGCAGGAAATCCTTTTAAATGCAGTCTACTCATCTCCAATACAAATAAGGTGTTGCAACTACATTTAATTTTTCATTTATTTTCTAGAGTAAGAAAAAGGACAACTAATGAGGCAGAATTGATTACATTTATCAAGAACTTCAGTGAATGGCAAATTTTGCCCTAGAACAGAAGACTACAGTGTATGATATAATCGAAAACCACCTGCTTGTGACATGAAAGGTCATTTGTCTGTTTTTGAGATGGAGTCTCGCTCTGTTGCCCATGCTGTTCCCCCATGCTAGAGTGCAGTGGCACAATCTCAGCTCACTGCAGCCTCTAACTCCTGGGTTCAAGTGATTCTCATGCCTCAGCCTCCTGAGTAACTGGGATTACAGGTGCATGCCACCATGCCTGGCTAATTTTTTTTTTATTTTCAGTAGAGACAGGGTTTCACCAGGCTGGTCTTGAACTCCTAACCTCAAGTGATCTACCTGCCTTGGCCTCCCAAGGTGCTGGGAATACAGGTGCAAGCCACCGCACCTGGCCTTTTTTTTCTTTTTGAGAGTCTTGCTCTGTCGCCCAGCTACAGTGGCACAATCATAGTTCATTGTAGCCCTAACCTCCTGGGCTCAAGCAATCTTCCTGCCTCAGCCTCCCAAGAAGCTGGGACTATAGGTGCACACCACTATGCCTGGCTTTTTTTTTTTTTTTGTGGAGACAGGGTCTTGCTATGTTGCCTACGATCATCTCAAACTCCTGGACTCAAGTGATCTTCCCACCTCAGCCTCCCAAAGTGCTGGGATTATAGGTGTGAGCCACAGCACCTGGCTGAGATGAAAGGCCCTACGTACTTTTCCCGGCTCTTTATTCCTGGTATGGCACTACACAAAGTCATGACATGTAAACTGAGTCACTGCCTACTATTTGGGCCACTCAAAATAACTCAAGACTATACCATCCACCCATCTTTTTGGAAATGTAAGTTTCCACTAAATGTTCTATGAGAGCACAGACCAGTACAGAGGGAAACAGGTTATAATTAGGGAGAGCTGTTGCTCTTGGAAACTTCTGGGTTTTAATGGACCTGAAAAATCCAGTCAAAACAGGCTTCCATGCTGCTGCTGACTTACCAGCCATTGCTGACTTAAAAACAGAGGAAGGGGCCATAAGCCAATGTACATAGGTGGCCTCTAGCAGCTGAAAAAGGCAAAAGAAATGGATTCTCCCCCACAGCCTTCAGAAGGAATGCAACCAGATTCCGCTTTGGAATTCTGACCTTCAGAACTACAAGACAAATTTGTGCCGGTTAAAGCCATTCAGTTTGAGGTAATTTGTGATGGCAATAGGAAATTAATTAATACATCTCCCCGATCAGTGTGGCTTTGTTACAACCTCTGTACCTGTTCCCTCCTCTGTAGTGAAAATAATAAAATGAAAGTGATACAACAAGCTCTATTTCCGAGGGCTGTGGTGAGGACCCACTGAGATAGCAGCCACACAGTGCCCCGGGGGCAGGGTACTGCAGGCATCACATGCATCCAGCAGCGCAAGAGGGTTCCTCACCAGCCCAACCACACAAGCACAGACCAAGCATGCAGAGATCAGCAAGGCTGAAAGGCAATGCCTCAGGGTCAGGGAGGGGAACCAGGGGAATGAGGATGACAATTTGTACAGGGCCACAGCCACTGCTTGAGATGCAAAGTTGTCTCAAGAGCAGGAGGACTGTCATTCCCAGTTTTCTCCCAGGCAGGGCAGTAATTTCAGAATCTGGGTCTTCTGCCTCTGACTGACTTTGTGACTACAAACAGGCCACTAACCACTCTGGTCCTCAGTTTTCCCACCTACAAAGGGGCAAGGCTAGACCCAAGTATTTGCAATGTTTCTTCTGACACTAGCATTTTGTGTTTCAACAATCACAGATCCTGCCTTCCACGGATAAGCTCCCTCACTTACAAACAGAGGATGATGTCTTCCCTTCGAGAGGCCAACCTGGAGACTACCCAGTCAGTGAGGTCTAACTTTCAACAAACTCTCATGCCAAATGCACTACTAGCATGACTGAAATCTCACTAAGCTACAGATTCAATGCCGAGAACATACAGCAAGGAGGGTCGAGCTAACATTTGTGTGGCTCTCCGCTGTCCACGATGGACTCTAGGGGCTCCCCAAGAAGAGGGAGACAGGCAAGTCTGCTCTAACAGGCAACCTTGAAGTGCTTCCTCAGACATTGCAGCTTTATCACAGGGAGGGGCTGACCACAGCTGAATCAGGTTCAATCCAGGCACCTCCCATGTCTGTGCTGAGCATCAGGAGCAAGGAATTGGACCTGGTTGTTGCCCTTGATTAAATGGGAAGATGGTCCAGGACTCAGAAGGTACAGCACAGGGTGAAAGGCCTGGGAATACTAAGGGAAAGTCAGATGTGTTGCTAACCCCAGTAGGAGACTCTGAGTTGGTTAAAAAAAACAGAAATGGAGCACAAATCAAAAAATACCTAGAGCAAACAGCAGAACAGAACAGTGTGGGTAAAAGGCTAAAGCTGGCCCTTGGATCTGGCTGGAAAGCACTGGCCCCTACTTGCCAGGATCTTTTTCTCTGAATAGATCCTCATCGGCACTCACCTCTCGACAGAGGAAACAGCCTGGCCTCCGCACAGCCATAATCACAGCTCCATTTTTTTCCCATAGTTCCTTTGCTTTCAAAGTCCTTGGTTCTAAGGCAGAAAAAAATGAAATTCAGTATCTCCTCCCAGCCCACTCCTCATCACTAAGCAGCTCATGAACCACACAAAGTCCAGCCGAGGTCAAAAACCAGAGCTAACAGAGGCCCTGGGCAGGCATTTCACATGTGGGAAAAGATACACACAAAACACAGACAAACGGAACAGTCACCTTCCTAAGTTAATCAAGCTTAACAATCCTATTCTATGCCCAGCCGGTCCCTCCCACCATAAACATCCTTTTTCCAACCTGAACATTCAAAAGTGGGACATTTCTGGGAAAAATGGCTATTTCGTCTATTGTCGATGTCATCAGATACTGTAAAATAATCCTTTAGGGCAGAAACATGGCCCGAGCTGAAAAGGTCTCAAATTTTTAACCTAAATATGTTAATATTATGAACAGAGGAGGATAGAAGATGCTTAGCAGTAAAACGCTTTGGGGTAGTACAATACTGTAGTTCAAACCCAGCTCTAAGGTCCGAGTAAGTTTGAATCTAGCTGCGTAACCCTGGGCAAGTTATTTTTGCTCTTTGAATCTCAGCTTCCTCATTTGTAAAATGCAAATATCTCGAAGCTCCACTTTAGGCTACCGGGCATATTGAAAGATGACTATGAAAGTGCTCACCACAGTGTTTGGTAATAGAGTTAGTAAGGGCTCAATAAATATGAGCCCTTAGGCCGGGCGCGGTGGTTCAAGCCTGTAATCCCAGCACTTTGGGAGGCCGAGGCGGGTGGATCACGAGGTCAAGAGATTGAGACCATCCTGGTCAACATGGTGAAACCCCGTCTCTACTAAAAATACAAAAAATTAGCTGGGCATAGTGGTGCGTGCCTGTAATCCCAGCTACTCAGGAGGCTGAGGCAGGAGAATTGCCTGAGCCCGGGAGGCGGAGGTTGCAGTGAGCCGAGATCGCGCCATTGCACTCCAGCCTGGGTAACAAGAGTGAAACTCCGTCTCAAAAAAAAAAAAAAAAAAAATGAGCCCTTATTATTTTAGTATTTCCCAGAGGGATCCATGTTCCTGTGGAATGTTATGTGGAAAAAAAAGGTGGGGTCAGGTGGGTGAGAGGGTGGGGAGAAGAGTCTATAATCAAGTAAGACTGGAAAACTGTGAGTTGAACAAAGCTTAACAGAGCTCTCTTAGTATCTTACTAAGGTGACCTACTATGAATCTGCACAATCTCCTGCCTTCCTTTGGCAAGCTGCCTTACTTACTGAACAGATGATGAGGACTTCCACCTAGGGGGGCTGACACAGTGACCACGCCATCAATAAGACCTTCACCACTCAGACTCTCTTGCCACACCACTGGCATGACTGAAATCCCACCAAGCTACAGCTCTAACACTGAGAGCACAGAGCAAGGAAGCAGAACTAACACATGTAAGTGTGTGGCTCTCGGCTGTCTCTGATGCACTCTTGGGGTCCCCCAGCAGAGGGGGACAGGCAGGTCTGCTCTAACAGGTGACCCTGAAGTCCTTGAAGTGCTTCTTCAGACACCCTGGCTTCATCACAGGGAGGGGCCGACCATGCCCAAATCAGCAGCAATCCAGACGCCTCATTCTAATAAGCATCTATCTGTGCCCAGCATCAGGAGAGTGGAATTGGATAAATGGTGTCTCTCACACTTATTCACTCAGGAACTGCTTTTAGTTTGATAATCCCACAAGCCTGAAATTCCTCAGAATATACTCTGGTAGGGCTGGTTCAGCAAAAGATTGTAATTACTACTAAATACTATGGAGCAATTTCTCATTATAGTTATAGAGACAACAACAGAGAATGAAAACTGCTTTTGATAAGAAAAACTAAAATGTAAAATAGCACCTACGCCAAGCACAACTATGTACTAATATGTACCATGGAAAGGAACATGCCAAAATAAAAATAATTACTGTGTTAGGGTAATAGAATTACTGCCAGTTTAAAAAGAGTTATTAAATTTTTCCTAATGTTGTTATATTATCTTTTCAATTAAAAAAGGAGAGAGTTCAGAAAGAAAACAGTAAGTACGCCTGTATCCCAGCTCCTCGAGAAAATACTGAGACCTGAAGGGTCACCACTTACCCTTCTCCAGTGTGTTCAGGTCAATGTCCTCCAGGTACTCCAGTGCCGCTTTCTGGGGCTTGGACAGAAACATGTCTGTGTTGGCCAGCAGCAGTGCCAAGGCAGCAGCCCCCAGGGCTCCCGCACCAATGGACCACATCCCCATGGTGAAGAAACTTGGGTCCTGGAGGAAAGACATTTCTGGAGATTGAGAGGAAGGAAGAAGGCGTTACTGCTCCCACAGGGTAGCTGGAATTTCATCTCCCAGGCAAGGCTCTGGCAGGACAGCCAACCAGGGGTCAGGACAGGGGAGGGGAGCAGCAGCGTCAGAGGCGAGACTGACTGGACAAGGGCTGCTAAGCACCTGCTGCCACCAGAACTTGGGGCTGCAGCACACACATGGAGGTTTCTGCACCACGGAGCTCACCAGGGCTTCAGGAGTGAGGACAAAGGACAGCCTTCGCAAACGCTTCCCTTGCTGCTCTCTCTCCTCATGCTCCAGGTTGCAGCCCCCAGCTCTACAGAGCTGTGCCGGGCTACATTCCCTGTGGGCAGACTACTTCCTCGTTCCCCTTCTCATCAATGCCCGATTCTCCCTCACAATCCAGGTGGCTCAGCTATCGCCTCCCTGGGTAGGGGCGGCTTTCTCTTCTGTGATCAGAGGATACTTAGGACACCAATCACACTGTTCTGTTCCCCTGTCTTCTTTCCTCTTTAGTTTGAGGACCCTCCAGAAATAGGGACCATATCCTACTCATCAAGGCCCCAGCCAGTGCCTAGCAGGGCCTCATTAATGGTAGGCAGGCAGTAATTCCTCCCAACTGAGAAGAGCTTTAGAAACAAAACAGGTTTATAGTAAAAACAAACAAACAAAACACAAATACAGAGAATACATGAAACCACTGTCGATAAGAAAGCAAACATTCTCTGAAGTACCACCTACTGAAGGCCACTGTTAAACACTGGTATGTAATCTGATGTTTTTCTCCCGCGAACAGAACTACACAGATGTCTGCCAGACAAATGCAGGCACTGTATCAGAAAGAGGAGGTCCTATGGCATCTGCCTCAGAGGAGGCTGGGCAAAAGATGGCTGCATAAGGTCCCTGCAACTGAAATGGAGCTCCAGGCAGGTTCTGTCAGAATTCAGCCTTGTTCCCAGCTTCTGTCTGCATGCCTCACTGAGGATCCCTCCAGCTAGGAAGACTTGGGCCTCTGGGTGGGAGCTCCTGGAAGCAGCCCACAAGGTAACCCCTCTAGCCTTCCTTCTCCCACAACCACTTACAGTATATATTTTTCCATTTGGTCCTCACACCATCCTGAGCTCTGGCATATACTGGTGCCTTCCTCCATAAGTACTAGCCTGCTTCTGCATGCTTAGATCACTGGGGATAAGCCAGGCAGTGGGGGAGGTAATTGTGTGGCCCACCACACCCCACTCCATCGAACCTCTGACTCGACTCTCCCCTGTAGGACTTGTGGCCGGGAGAGGATGTCGCCAAAGGATCAGGAAAGGCCCCGGAAATCCGAATGTCACTGCCAAGGGTGGGGGCTGTGAGGGGTGCACTGCATGAGATGGGAATGGGAGTGACCCGGTGGTGACTTTGGGAGGAAAAGGTAGTCCAAACTAGCATTGAAGCCACCTGAAATTCATATTTAAGACATAAAAGAGGCATTCATAAAAAAGAATGAAATCATAGCCTTTGCAGCAACAAGGATGGAGATGGAGACCATTATCCTAAGTGAATTAACCCAGAAACAGAAAATCAGATACCACATGTTCTACTTACAAGTGGGAGCTAATCAATGAGTACAGATGGACATAAAGATGGAAATAACAGACACTGGGGACTCCCGAAGAGGGGAAGGTGGAAGGCAGGGAGGGGAGGGGTGAAAATTACCTATCAGGTATAAGGTTCACTATTTGGATAACGGGTACACCAGAAGCCCAGTCTCCATCACTACACGGTATACCCATGTAACAAATATGAAGATGTACCCCATGAACCTAAAATGTGTTGTTGTTTTTTTTTAAAGGAGTAAGAGAGAACCTTGGTTGAATGTGGTGGCTCATGCCTGTAATCCGAGCATTATGGGAGGTTGAGGCAGGAGGGCTGCTGGAGCTCAGGAGTTTGAAACAAGCTTGTACAACATGGCACAACCCTGTCTATAAAAAATTACCAGCCAGGCGTGGTGGCTCACTCCTGTAATACCAGCACTTTGGGAGGCTGAGGCAGGTGGATCATCAGGTCAGGAATTCAACACCAACCTGGCCAATACGGTGAAACCCTGTCTCTACTAAAAATACAAAAATTAGCTGGGTGTGGTGGTGGGTGCCCGTAGTCCCAGCTACTCAGGAGGCTGAGGCAGAAGAATGGCTTGAACCCAGGAGGCAGAGGTTGCAGTGAGCCGAGATTGCGCCACTGCACTCCAGCATGGATGACAGAGTGAGACTCCATCTCAAAAAAAAAAAAAAAAAAATTAGCCAGACATGGTGATACATGCCTGTGGGTCCAGCTACCTGGGAGGCTGAGGTAGGAGGATCACTTTAGCCCAGGACTCCAGCCTAGGTGACAGAGTGAGACCTTGTCTTTTTTTTTTTTTTTTTTAAAGAAGAAGAGAAGTTCCAGGTAAGGGGGGGTAACCAAATAAAAACAACATCTAAGAAAGAGGAATTTGGCATCTTTATACTTGGGAAGGGGAAAATCGGTATGTGTGTGTTGGGGAAGGAGGTGCTGCTACGGTGTGTCTGACATGAGAGAACTGCGCTGAGAGAGAAGTTTCTTATTACCCACTCCTCAAAACGTAACCCATAAAGGGCACCATCTAGAAATGCAGAATCTCAACCCCCACCTTAGAATTAAGGAATCTTACACTGCCTTTTAGTCAGACCGGCAGGCAATTTCATAAGCACATTAAAATGTGAGCAGCATTGTCTTAGAGCAAAGAATTTAGGACTTCCTGCTTGGTCGCCAATCAGCTGCCAGAATAAAGTCAAGTCACGAGGGCAGTCTCGCTTTGGGCAGCTGGGCCCCCCTGCCATGACCCTGAGAACAGCCACATTACAGAAAGGCACACATCTCTACCCCTCTGCCGGCAATATCCTACTTCATTTTGTGCTTCATGACTCAGAGGCAGCTTCCCTGATGTTCTGCCAGCCCCCTACTTCCAGCCTCTCACTTCCACCCCCAAGAGGTGTTGATTCACCCCCTCCTCAGTCCCGCGCCCAAACATCACCCACGATCCTTTTGATGTGCCTGACATACTGGTTTGGACCTGTCAGATTTCTCTCTTTTGGCGACATCCCGAAGTGTATCTCTGAATCTCTCATGCCTAGCTCAATGCACATCTGGTATACAGCAGGCTCACCACCAGTGTATGATGGAATGAATTCAATAAAACTGAATGTCAAAGACAATGGCTTATGGACAGCCAAAGTTCTTGGGACAAGCAGGAAAGAACCTGTCACAGGTCTGCTTCCAATTCTTTAATGTGGCAAAGTTGTGCATTACTGGATTATAGTTCGCAGCACAATTAGGAGGAAAACCACAGCTCTTGTTTGCTTGCCGTAAACGAGAGATTCCCCAGAGCCTGGAACAATTTCTGTACCTTAATGTACTTCCAAAATGTTCCTGGATTTATGACTCGTATGACTCAGGAGCACACGGAATGGCCTCTGATCACAGATTTGATGGCATTTCTGCGTCAGGATACAAAAACCAGCTTACATCTACCCCACAAATGGACTCTGGCTCCTGGGACACATCAGTGCATTCAGAAAGTCCAGGGCCCCTCACAGTCAGCTCCACATTCTTCCAACACACCCCTGCTACACTCAGAGGCAAACAGCCTCTACCTTCCCACTGCCCAGTGATGGGTGTTTGACATGTCTGCTCCTGAGCACAACTCAACTAGACTCAACATTTATTTCCAAATATTTATTCAGCACTGACCCGTTCAATAAATGGCGATTTGGGAGGACATGAAATGATACATAGTCCTCAAGAAAATATGAGCCTGGTATACAAATCACAAAAAATCAAGTGAAAAGGTGAGGCAGCCTGGGGAAGGTATGGGCATGAGGCTATGGTGGTGCAGGAATGAGAGCCAATCTGGGTAGCCACAAAAATACCCAGAAAGAAGTGGCTTTGGAGCCAGTGTAGGACACAGGAGGCAGCAAGGACAGGTTAGGCTGGGACGGAGCCAGCTAAGCTGGGAGACAGCAGGCTGACTAGGGCAGGTGTCAGTGTTGAAGTCACCCTGAGAACTCAAACTTCTGGGTTCCAAAGACCCCCATCTCTGTATCTCAAGTTCAAAGGCTGGGTATAAGATCTTGACCTCAAAACCCCCAGAACTGCTGTTCTCTAGCCTCACACTGTGATCCTGAAAGTGTGAGCAGAGAATCAGCCCTCTGGGGCAGTGGACCACATCCTCAGGCACTGAAGCACCATGCTGAGAGTGTTATCAGGACCAGTGGTGAGCGTCAGGCCTCTCCATGGACAGACTGCAGCCAGTGGGCCTGTAGCAGCCCACTCTTGTGCCATAGAAAAATAGAGAAAATTCAGTTCCGGGAGTATCTGGAGAGGACACAGGCCTAGCCTCTTATCCAAGTCCCCTGGGCTACAAAGCAACTCCCATCCTGGCATGTCTTGAAGCTTATGCTACTGTGAGTTGCTGCACAGTGAGCAGACCCTGAATTCTGAAATCACAATTACTCTCACCCACAAAAAAGGACAAAGGAACTTCAACTTCTAAACAGAACAATGCACCTTTTTTTTTTTTTAAGAGATGTAGTCTCGCTCTGTCGCCCAGGCTAGAGTGCAGTGGCGCCATCTTGACTCACTGTAATCTCCGCCTCCTGGGTTCTAGCAATTCTCCTGCCTCAGCCTCCTGAGTAGCTGGGACTATAGGTGCACACTGCTGTCCCTAGCTAATTTTTTGTATTTTAGTAGAGATAGGGTTTCACCATGTTGCCCAGACTGGTCTTGAACTCCTGAGCTCAGGCAATCCACCTGCCTAGGCCTCCCAAGTGCTAGGATTACAAGCATGAACCACTGCACCCAGCCAGAACAATGCATTTTCACGTGGGCCTCTAAGATTGCAGGGGTATGGAGGCCAGCAATCGTCCATACTTATGCAGTCAGTGGTCTTAGAAGCCAGTCAGTAACGGCCTAATTTTATTCACTGAACAGTTTTGTGATGCAGAGATTTTCCCGTTTAGCCGCTAACACAGGTTCAGAGAAGTTCAGTAACTTCCCCTGTGTCACAGAGCCAGCAGGCAGTGGTATTACAACCCGGATCCGAGTCAACAGGGATAGGACTCCAAAGCTTGAAAGACCAACTTTCCTCCCGACACATTCAGAAGTGGGTTTACATCTGCTGTAATTGTTGATTCACACACACACACACACGCACACAGAGAGAGAGAGAGAGAGAGAGAGAGAGAGAGAGAAAGAAGTGGGTCCTGGAGATCCAAGAGTATGATTCCCTTTGTCTGAAAAAGAATGCTTTTTTAATCACCTTATTTTTTTTAGTCATCGTGTACCGTCAAACCATATTTACGCTAAAGGAAATTTACCATACACCAGATGTTCCTTCTCTTTCCTCCCCCTTTCTATCCCCCCACTTCCATTCAGGAAAGGGTCAGTTTTTCTGAAACAGAATAGCAGGGTTGTTTACAGAAGAGCCAGCCCCACCTGACACAGCTACAGCATTCAGTTCCCCACTGCTGGGCTTATCTGATCCACCCTCTCCTACAGAAGGTGAAGCAGGATAAGGCCACAAACAAACAACAGCTGTGGCAGCTCAGAGTGGCAGCTCTGATCTGAACACGAGGGCAAGAGGAAGACCCAGTGGGGGTCCCTAGGCTAAGCTGAGTCAGCTCCTCCCCAGGCCCCATTTTTCTCAACTCCATGAGGAGGTTCCTAATGATCCCCAGTGACATCCGATAAGTCTAACAAAAAGAGGTCACTTTGGAGTCAGAACATTCTAGGTTCCTCAACATTGCCCCCCGCTTCCCCAGTTTCAGTATCCAGCTTTGAGACCCTGCCTCTTCCCTACACAAGGCACCTCCCCTCCTCACATGATCTCTAACCCTAACCTTGGACAGCTCAAACCTGGAAACGAGGCACTCACCATCCACGGTGTCCACACCTCTGCTTCTCCTGACAAAGCAGCATACCCAGGGGCGGGCAGGCGGGCCTGGGCGGGCAGCAGGGGGAGGGCTGGAGGCAGGACTAGGCCCCTAAGTTCAGTCACTCCACAGGCAGGACCAGGCCACCCAGAAACCCTGGGGCTCCTTCAGCTGCCAACAGTCTCCAGAAAACATCTAAATGGAAGGCTGCCAAGGCCCCCTAGCCCTCCAAAAAGTTGAGCAAAGCTTTGAGTCATTTGCAGTCATGCAGATTATAACGTTTCCCAAGTGCCGACAGACTCCTTCTCTGCTATCCAGTGCGGGCTAAAGAAGCAAAGCCCGTAACACAGCCCACATGTCACGTTAGTGGAAATAAAAGAAGACATCCCGTTCCCTGTGGCTCCTTATGCAGCCTGTTCCCTTGACCCATTCCTCGCCCCAGGCCTGGAAAGTCAGCTGGCGCCTGAGGCCCCTCACCTGCTTTCCCTCCCTTTTCTGCCACGTCAGTGGCTTCCCTCAACCCACACTCCCTTCCTGGGTGACTTCTCCTACTTCAGCACTTCACCCACCACTTTGGTAATGACTTCCAAGTCCCTATTGCTGTTCCTGACCCAAAGTTTCCACTTGGGGTTTTTGTAGTATCTCTGTTGTACCATGTCCAAAACTAAAGTTGATTTCTCTGCTGGAGTTCCCTGGCTCAGTGGATGACACAAGCATCCAGTTAACTGCTCAAGCCAGAAACTGGGGGGATGGGGATGTCACATTTGACCCTTCATTTGCCTGGATCTCATCTGTATAGACAAAGGAAGGATCTTGAAATTCTATGAGGTTGTCTCAGCTCTGACATCCAAAGATTCTAAAGAACCATGTGATGGCAACTACAGGGATCTGATGTCCAGAAAGCCATGGGGACCCCTGCCACCACCGTTCTCCTGCTGGGTGCGCACATTCACACAGCCTCCTTCCCAGGGCCTAACTCCCAACTGTTCCAGGAGCTGCCACTGGGCAGGAACTGATGAAGTCTTAATGAAACAAAAGTATCAGCACTGGGTGGGTTAATTCATGTCTGAAACAAGTAGAGACAGCATCATATTCTAACATCAAGGGTACACCTGCCTAGGCCAGCCCCACCCAGGAATCCTCCCTCTTCTGAATGAGCTGGCCTAAGGCAGAGACAGGCGAGAAGCAAGAAAGGATGCTGAGGGAGACAAAAAACAGTGCACATGAGCTTCCTTGCCTCAGGCCCTCAGTGAACAGGCTTGAACGGAGGCTTCATCTTTCTCCTCTGGTCTCCTCTCCTTCCCTCAAAGCTTTAATTCAGCTCCTCTTTTACTGTGCAAATGAAGACACTAAGGCTCAGAGAAGAGGCTGGCTAGTCCAAGGTCACATGGGCAGGGCAGGTTGTCAGGGGCTGCACTGGGACTCAGGTCTGGGTCTCCCAACTTCCACTCCATGACTGTCTATCCTGCCTTGGACACTCTGGGTCCTGGGCAGCCAGCCACAGGCCAGTGGCCTCTGATGCTGGAACAGCATGGGAGTCTGGGCTTAGGAAGTACGCCCCTGCAGGTCTTGAAGCCTGTTCACTAGCCTCAGGCAAGCTAGGAGCAAGACTGCGCCTAAACAAGACTGGGAAATCTGCTGCCCGGAGAGAACATCAGCCTCTCCCAAGCCCAATCCTTGGTAAGCAGTTTATAATCTGAAGCCAAATGTCTTCTTAAGAGTCTCATTGCCTAGTCTCAGATGAAAAGCCATTCTGCTCCTCTCCTCCCCATAGTAACAAGACTGTCCATTCTTGTCTAGCAGACTGATGATGCAGGCACACAGGGCCTTATGAGCAACAGATATCCTTCCACCTATCCTTGTCTTCAAACACCACAAGACTAGTCACTTTCAATGAGCTCTCACCTATCTGCCTCAGTCTCCAACACTCAGCTCTGCTCCTTGGGGTGTGTGTCTGCCTGGTTCTGGCCCAGCCCTATTCTCAAATGCCAGATTCAGAAACCTCTGAATAGATGGTGAAAGCAGAACAAGAGGACACAATCAGCTACTGTGAAACCCTGAGATACAGCCAAGAGTGAGGAATGCGGGGGCTGGAAAGGATCTTTTCCTCTAAGTCATGCTCAAGCTGCAGGGCCTCCCCAAAACACAAGCCATTCTACTCTCATTTGCACAGTCTCCTGTCTGGGCTCAGAACAGCAGCTCCATCAAGTTATACGGGTGTGTGGATAGGAAGACAAGGGCAACACCACAGAAAACCATGGGCTAAAAGCCAAAAGATGCTGTTTTTTTCTCTCTTTGAGAATTCATCTCATCCCTCTGAATCTCAGTGTCTTCTTAAAAACAAGGGCACTTTAAAGAGTTGTCATAAAGAATATACAAGAGCAGCAATGTGCAATGCAGCAACGCACTAGAGAACTGCAAAGCAGCATTACCTATCTCTTCTTTGCAGGGCTCAGATTCACTCACACCCCTATGAAGACAGGCCTTCTGAAGTAGGACGGACACGAATTCTGAACTTCTGCAGCTGTGTCACTGCAGGCCTGCTTTCTGGTGAACGCTTGAGATCTGTTGGGAACACGCTTGTCTCAGCCCCTCTGGCCAGCACTCTACTCCTGCAGCAACCAGCGCTGCCTCCTGCACTAGCAGCACCACAGAAGGCAAAGGTCCAGCTGTAATTTCCCTGTGCCAGAGGTCACTGAGCTCAGAGGTGAGGCTGGCTCCCTGCACAGCACCTCGGGATGGTTCTTGCCACACAAGCCTCAGCAGAAGACGACTTGGAGCTTCTGCTCAACATTTCACAAAGAGGCAAGAACCCAACTAGCAGGATAGATGCCTTATTTCTTAGGAACAGAGCCTGGGGCTTGAGCCACAGAGTTCCAGTCCTATCCAAAGTTTCTGAGCAGCATTTAAATGACACAAAATGATGAGACGATTATCAGAAATGTCTTTTGTACCCCTTCAGGAGTAACATAGAAGGTCTCAACTAAATGGTATGCCCTTATAAAAGAGAGGGACATAGGAAAGACCGCACCAAGAATACCTAAGATGTAACTTTACTTCTTGCAAGCCTTATAAACCTGGACGAGGAACTGTTTCACATCAGTAAAATGGCAATGATTCCTTTATTACCTTCTACAGAGTTGCAAGAATCAAAGGATTAAATGTACAGGAGGTGCCCTGTGAAGTACGGTACAAAAAGTGCAATAAATACAACGTATAATTTTTCCTCATTTCTAGAACAACGATTGCCCTCAAAACGTTATTTGTACACAAAATGGAGAGTTTTCTGATGAATGAGTATGGTAAGGAGTCGGGGTCTGCTGTCGGAATCTCAATTCTCATTCTTCAAAGCTGGGCCCACCACGCAGGAGCACTGGAGACTATTCAAGCTGACTCCTTCACAATGCTTTTCATAACAAATCCTGATTATTTTCTTTTTAAAAAAATCACCTGCCGGGTTCAAAGGAAAATACATTAAAATAAAACGAAAAAACCGAAGCTGAGTTCTGGGTTGTTGGGCTGTAGAGACAGCATGGCGTAGTAAGGAAAAGAGGCGCAAGAGCAGCTGTGAATCCTGGTCCGGCCATGGACTCCCGGGTGCTCCCTTCCCACAGCCCTGGCCCTCCTGAGCGTCAAGTTCCCTTCCTTGGCCTCTAACGATCTCCACCTGCGCCTTCACCGCCCGCTCCAGCAACAACCTTGGGGGCAGCCTGTTCAATGGGTACCTTGCTCATTTCCAGAACTGAGCAGGGCTGTGAAATTTACAACTGGGCTCCACCCAATTTAAAGACGGGCCGTTGTGACCCCTGGGAAAGAGGGGGAACAGGTGCCACCGAGACGCCGAACAAAGCTAGAAAACGCGCCCTCTTAAAAGACACGACCCTAAACGGACACAGGGGCGAGGACGGCCAGGTCCGCACCTCCGGCTAGCCGCTACGCCCCCGGGGCCACGCTCCAGGGCAGAGCCCTCTTCTCCGTTCTTCGTCCCAACAATTCGCGAAGGTTGGAGCCACCTGCGTTACTCAGGCTTGGGGGCGGGGACGAAGAGGACCCTAGCCTGCCGCAGCAGCGCCCCGCCCCGCCCCGCCCCCGCCCCCGCCCCCGCCCCCGCCTCGGGTCTCCGAAGTCCGTGCGCGGGGTTTTTCCACCCGCAGCCGCGCGGGGCGGGGGGGCGTCGTCCCCCGAGAGAGCGCCGGCGCCGTGGCGGCTCCTAGGGGACCTGGCGCGGACCCGAGGGGCGCGCCTCACCAGCCCGGCACCCATCCTACCGCGCGCCGCCGGTTCTGCCCTGCCTCAGTTTCCCCACCTACGCCGCAGCAAGCCCCGCCTACGGACATCACGTGCTTCGCGGAGCCGGTAGCGCAGCACCTACCCGCAGTGCCGCCCTCCTGCCGGCCTTCTCCCGCCCCGACGCCCGGGCGCTGAGGGCCAAACCGCTGGGCCCCGAGGGTCCCAGGGGCGGGCGCCGCGCCTGCGCAGCTTCGCGCCTGCGCTTCCTCGCGCGCCGCCACGTGACCTCCCCCCCCCCGCCTCCGTGGGAGGAGCTCCGGACCGTCCCCGCCTCGCCGACCTCGGGGCCGCGGTCTCCCAGCCTGGGTGGCGCTCGAACGTGTCCCCCACCGACCGTTCTGCGCACAGCGCTCGGTCGGTTCACTCCTCGAGTCCGCGAACCGAGGTCCCGACGCGTTCTTTAAGGCGCTGCGTGGGGCAAAAGAAGGCGCTGGACTCCACTCTTGGAGTCTGGAAGCACCTGCCCTGCCGCCGAGGCGGGCCAGCTTCCCTCCACTCTTCGGACCCACGCACTCCGAAGAGCCCCTTCATGCTGTGTGTACCGATTCAGAATTGCCAGCCTCTATCCTACACCCACGTCCCCTTTCAGAGCCACAAAAATTCTGGCTCTGGGGCAGAGAACGACGAGAGCAGCCTGCGGACTCCGAGCGACGCTGGAGCGAGTTTGTCACACGTCCGCCCGTTCACTTACTGCTCGTTTTGGAAGTGCCCACACTTTCAGGAAAGTAGGAGGTTGGGCCTGGCTTATGCTGTAATCTCAGCACTTTGGGAGGATCGCTTGAGCGTAGGAGTTCAAGACCAGCCTGGGCACCATAGTAAGACTCCATCTCTACAAAAAACAAAAAATAGCCAGGCGTGTTTGCGCACGCCTGTGCTTCCAGCTACTCCGGTGCTGAGGTGGGAGGATCGCTTAAACCCGGGAGGCGGAGGTTGCAGTGAGCGGAGATCGCGCCATTGCACTCAGCCTGGTCGCGCCAAAACAAAACAGAGAGAGGCCCTGTCTCCAAAACAAACAAAAAGTAGGAGGTTGGGAAAACATCCTTTCAGAGACAGCAGAGCTGACTCACAAGACCAATCAGTGGTTCGACGGGTGCGGCGGCTAACACCTGTAATCCCAACACTTTGGGAAGCCAAGGCGGGCTGATCACTTGAAGTCAGGAGTTCGAGACCAGCCTGACTAACGTGGCAAAACCTTATCTCTACTAAAAATACAAAAATTAGCTGGATGTGGTGGTGTGCATCTGTAGTCCCAGCTACTCAAGAGGCTGAGGCAGGAGAATCGCTTCAACCCAGGAGGCAGAGGCTGTAGTAGCCAAAGTGGTGCCACTACACGCCAGCCGATCGTGCCACTACACTCCAGCCTGGGCAATACAGTGAGACTCTGTCTCAAAAAAAAAAAAAAATGACATTAGTAGTAACA